TGTTTCTTTTGTCAACAACAACAACACCAACACCAACACCAACACCAACACCAACACCAACAACAACAACAACAACAACAACAACAACAACAACAACAACAACAACAACAACGACAGCAGCAGCAACAACAACAACAACAACACTTATAAACACAGTCATGTCCAACTGGGATCTATACTGGAAAGATTGAGTGATCGTGCCTCACCAATTCAGCTTGACCTTACATAGCTCGGCTTCGCATATTCAATTCTTAATTCGTCTCGACTTAAGCAAGTCGACCATCAATGATGCTACGTGCCTGCGCCACCACCTGAGGCTTGTAAATTGGGACTAGGGAATCGACGAACGTTTCTCTTGCAACCTCCTCACACGGGTGACTTCGTTGCTTTGTTATTCATCTATGACCCGTCGTTCTCCCTAGCTGCTAGCTGAAGCCCGGCCCTACCCTGCCCCGACTCTGTGATCATGGCTGACGGTGGCATGGCCCACCGAGCCGGGTCGGCTGCCACCTTGAGGGAAGGTGTGGATCTACTCAAGCGGCAGCAGGTTAAGTTGGAGAGGGCTGCTACGGAGGAGGAAATGGAGAAAAGCCTTGAGGACAGGTATTCGGCTTTCTTGTTGGGAGTAATAGGCCAGTGATTCTGCTGTCGGGTGCCAAGGTTTTACATAGGGTTGGCTAGCAATTCTGCTTTCGGGTGAGAAGCTTCGAAACCGGGCCAAAATATGCATGCAGGAGCTGAAAGCCAGGCGTGCTAGCATGGCCAAGAACTTGCCAAAGCCCGTCCCAACCCAGACGACCGCGGACACCCCAGCTCGTGGAGTCAAGAAGATGCGTGCTGAACACACAGGAACAACTCCCAGTACCCCGGCTCCAGTGACGGAAGCTCCCGAAGCGACCCCCGGCAAGCCGACTCCTAGGAAGGCCGGTCGATATTCTGTTTACATGCACTACTCTAAATGTATAGTTCTGTAGCTCCTATAATGCTTACACAAGAATCATGCATGCAGGTGCTCTTCGCGACCCCCGACAAGATTCTTGAGGGAACCGGCGGGGCTCCGGATGAGCTGGAGCAGTTGAGGGCGGAACTCGCCCTTGTCAAAGCCAAGAATGCCGAGCTCGAGGAAGCCCTGAAGGGTGTCATTTCAGGTGGTTCGGAAAGCCGCGAACCAGAGGATTCTGAGGAGGAGGGAGAAGAGCTTTCCAAGGAAGCTCAACGTAAGAAGCTGTGGCGCATGTGCAAGAAGGATGCACTGGGGTCACCTGCATTTATAATCCCTTTGTATAACTGCATTCTGCTTGGGTTTTATCGTCCTAACTGCTCTTGAGTACATTAAGGCGCACCAAAGTCCCCATGCACATTCATGAAGCTTGGGCAAAGGGAGGCCCAGATCGTGCCCGCCTCGGCGAGATGCTGAAGGAAGCGGGGTTCAAGAAGGACCTTGAGAGGGATAGAAGTGTTCTTGTTGGGTTGCACCTTTACTATATATAATTAGCCCTATAAACCCAAAGCCCTATATAACCCTAAACCCGAAACCTCAAGCCCTAAACCCACCCTAAACCCTGCTAGACCCGCAACCCAAAACCCTATTTCAAGCAGGCTTTGCCGAGGTCCTTCAAACATAGCTGCATGGATTGCTGTTGAAGTGATGGTTGGTGCTGGGTCTTCAGAACTTTGGGGGGGGGGGGGATTAGGGTTCTTAGGGCTAATTAATACAATCCAATATTATACACCCATAGGGTTTGTAAGTGCTCCTGGGTTTATAGGGCAGAGGGTTTATATGAGTGGTTTTTAGGGCCTAAAGGGATTATAAAGCTTAAAGGGTTCATAGGGTTTGAGGTATGTAAGCAGGCGCGTGTCTCAAAGCCGCTGTGTAAAGCGGGATCTCGTTACAGAAGCCAGAAGCTACAACCCGACCACATAGCTCATGCCTGTATAAACTGGCAAACGATAGGACTGGAGAGCTATCCTCCACCCACATCGCGACTTACATTTCGGAGCTTACCCCAACAAATGGAACAGATCGCTAAATGCACTACTAAGATAATATTCTCAAACGCAAGCCCGAAGAAGTCAGCAACCTCCCGAACGAGAGCAAGTCCTGTATATATCTTACAATACATATCCCGGAAACTATTTACCGAGCTATTGTTGATATAGTGCCACACGGGCGATGATGGATGCGCCACACGGGCCAGGGGCAGTGCCCAAATGAACTTCCCACCAGCTCAGAACCTCCTTCGGGTCCGGGAGCAATGGCTCCGGTGCACGCAGAGCTTCCGGGGTTGACGGTGTTGAAAGCTCTGTACATCATGAATGCTTGTCTCCACAGAGCACCTCGATGACTGGGGGGGGCTTTCGTCTCTTGTCCCGCCACACTCCCTGCTCCGATTGATTCAGTCCAGAGCCGGACCAGCAAACTCAGTGAACTGCGCGACGTCCGCGACTTTGCTTGGGACGTGGAGCTGTGAGCTCGTGTGCATGTTGCGCTCGTGCCCACGCCTACCTACCCTCCCCCTCCCTACCTACCCTACCTCCCTATACCTCCCACCTCCTTCGACACGGTCTGCCTCCCTGCCCTTTTAACCCTACCAACCCTACCAACCTACCTACCTGCCTACCTACCTACCTACCTCCCTCCCTCCCTCCCTCCCTACCTACCTACCTACCTACCTACCTACCTACCTACCTACCTACCTACCTACCTACCTACACCCAACCCACCCACCC